TAAAATGTGCAAACCAAGGTCCTGTAATTGCTTCAAGTTGTCGCTCGCAGTTGGGTACTTCATCATCAGAGACTCTTCGTTTTCGTATTTGTATATATCTCAGTTAATCAATATTCAACATCTTGTTCATAAAATATATATATATATATATATATGGAGATGAATCATAAAAACTTGTGACTATATTGGCTTTTGAAAAAAGTTCAAATCTTCACAAACACAGACTATTAATTTTTGTGAGTCCCACAAAAATCAAAGAGTCAGAATGTGTTTGTGACATTGTCAGTGAATGTCGCTAATGGCACTGTATAACTGCTAGGTATTGTAGTGAACCTAAGACATACCTTGAGAGTCAAGAGAGGTAGCCACCATGTTGAGAGCAGAGCCAAAAGCAGTGGCTAAGCAAGCAGCAAATGAAAAATCTCCCTCACCAACTAGCAATATCTTCTGAGAGCTGCTATATGTTTTTATCCATCTCTCTTCTTCTTTTGTAGTACTATAATTTTGAGAAAAGTCCAATTCCATTTTCTACTCAACTTAAAAATCACAAACTCAACCTAAATAGCTGCTGCTGCTACCGCTGCTGATAATGCTATTGTAGTATGAATTTATAATAAGAGTTGAAGGAGTATTTGATTAGCCACCAAGGATTTAACAATCATTATTGGGATTGGAATTATTGGTGATATATCAGCCTCTTTGAAATCAGAACTTAATGATCAATTCATTCACTATTTCCAAAGAGTTTCTTTACAGTTCCCATCCATTGTGTATCCTTGAGATGTAAAATAACTGATTGATGACTCTTTGAGTGCTACTACTCTGTTTTGCCCTGGAGAGAATCTAAATTCTTGTACTGGCTACAAGCATGCAAATTCACTTCCTTCCATTCAAACATGAAGTATTGATTAACTACGGGTTTTTTTTTATTATTATTTATCTACATATTATATAAAAAAAAAAAAAAAATAGAATTTCTAACCCACAAGCCTTGTGATAGATCAATATCACAATCTTAATTTTCTAATTTTTTTATTTTTAAAAAAAAAAAAAAACCCTCAGCATTTATTAATTTCTTCTCACCCATAAGCCTTTTTGACTTCTCTCACATACCTATTGTTACACCATTTTCAACTTCTTCTATACACTATGGTTAGTGATGAGATTGTTAAATTATTTTTTAAAAAATCTATAAAAAAATAATTTGTATATTAAAAACTATCTAAAATAAATATAAATTCTTATTAAATCTATCTATCTATCTATATATTATGTGAGTAAAAAGGGAGTTTCTAACCACAAATCTTGTGGAGTTCCAATATTTCAAACTAAAATTTCTAATTTTTTGATTTTAAATAATTAAAAAAATCCTCTATAGCTCTTCATTCAAGCAAAAAAATAATAATAAATAAATAAATAAAATTAAAAAAAAAATGAATATTTCTTGATTTATTACTTTCAAATGGAAAGTATATCAAATATATAAAATAAAAAATATAAAGTATACTAATTCATTTCAAAATTTAAATTTGAAAGGCGCTAAATATGGAAAGTTGCAAAATATCTATATACTATTATAAATTGCAAAATATTATCATTTCATTAAGGTTGAAAGTTGTAATTCTTTTTTCTCTTTTTTTTTTTTTGTTTAATTTTTCGTTAATACGTGTTACAATATGACTGGTCCATAAATTAATTTATATTCTTAAAATAAAATTTCAAATTTGGATTCTTACTTAAATTATGTTATTAGAATTGAAATGAGATCAATATTCATTCCTTAAATTTTGCATCCTTTATTAAATTATAAAATAAAATTTCAAATTTAAATTCTTCTTCAAATTATATTACTACAATTAGAATGAGATTAATATTCACATGTATCATGAGAGGGAGATTAATGATAAAGAGTTATGCCGGACAGATTTGGGCCGGACAGAGTTGTGCCGGACAGATTTGGGTCGGGCAAGTGTTGGGCCGAGGATGTGTGGCCCAGTTTGGAAAGAAGTTGCTCGGTTAAGGCAACGCTTGGTTGGACCGAGCTACACGTTTGACGGAGGCGAAGCAAGTCAATTTAAGTGACTGGCGCCCGGAAAGGCGTGGTCAGCCGAGGTACCTGTTTGCTCGGCTTTGTCGAGATGCTGCCTAGCCCGGTCCTCATTAAGCTTAGCTAGGGGAGTGCTTGGACATGAAGCACAGCACGACCGTTGGCGGACAAGATGGTGCAGCTCGGCTGCCGAGCTCCCAATAGAGTGAGCGGGCAGTTGAGATTAGGTGACGCCCAACAGGATTTGTGCTGACAGATGGGATAGCAGAGCCACGTGTCGAGAGACCATTGGGAGTAGGTTTGGGACGCAGAAGGGTATATAAGCATGTCTGCGCCCCCCATGTTGGGGGACGAACACTTTGTAAGGAACTCCTACACTCTAACGCTCCTCTCTCTTTCTCTTTATCCTAAGGTGTGTGCTAACTTGATCGTCGGAGGGGTTTTTCGGCCACACACCGCCGGGTAACTCACCGCCGTTGTGCTTGCAGGTCGATCGGACAGATAGGAACTTGGAAGAAAGGAATACGGGCTTGCCTGAATATTTGCTCCCCGTACAATTGGCGCCGTCTGTGGGAAGCTTGCAGATAAAACCTTGTCTTCCACGCTCGTCTGACCGCCGACCATGGCGAACAACGAAGAGTTTCCGTTGTCTGCCATAGACGGAGCAACTCCGGAGTTCACCCAAAGGAGAGAAGGACCTCCCGTCATCCATCCAATGGCGGACTTGGAGACACCCACCGGAGGACAGTCGGGAGACGCGCGGGATAAGCGCGGAAGAAGTCATGGTCATTCACGCAGTCCAGACGGTCACCGGTGGAGAAGAGACTCACACGCCAGACGTCTGGAAAATAAGTTGAAGGACCAGGATGCCGTCATCCGGCGAATGGCGGCGGAGATAGAGGAACTGAAGCGGCATATCAAGGGGAAGGGTGTAAATGGAGTGATAGACCACAGTGAGGGCACCTCATCCCGCCGTTCAGGCAGTCGGAGTCAGCGACACACTCCATCCATTTCCATTACCAGAAACTACAAAGTTGATGATTCAAGCGTTCGCGCAGAAAATTCCAGCACGCAGGATAGCACATACCAGCCCTCGCGTCCGGTGATGTAGTCGAGGTACTCATATTCTGCTCACTCAGAGGATTTGCGGGCAGTCTTGAAGGAACGAGCTCGCCGTCGGGAGGCTCAAAGGGTGCCGGCGTTTCAACGGCTATCCTATGGGGTTCACGCCAGCGAGGAGGTCGGAATGCCTCCACCCCGCCACGCAGCGCCACTCTTTGTAGATACGGACCTAGCCAGGCTGAGCGCCACCCCTTTTTCCCTGGAAATAGAAACAACACCGCTTCTGGCAGGCTTCCACTAGCCTAAGTTCACACTCTACGACGGAAAAACTGATCCTTACATGCATGTAAGCCACTTCCGACAGGTTATGGCCGGACATCGGCGAAATGACGGGCTTATGTGCCTTATCTTCCCGTCAAGTTTAGGCGAGCTGGGCTTGAAGTGGTTCGAGAGGTTACCGGAAGCGAGCATGCAAAGGTGGCACTAGTTGGTCGAAGCCTTTGTGACGCGCTTCAAAACCAACACAAAAACACCAAAAGAAGTCGATCACTTACTAAGTGTCAAGATGGAACCGAGCGACACACTGAAGGCATATAACTCCAGGTATTGGGAGACCTTCAACGAGATCTTGGATTGCCCGGTCAACCTTGCAATCACTCAATACAAGCGTGGTCTCCAGGTCGGACATAGACTGCAGGACTCGCTCACCATGCACCAACCGACGTCCATGGGCCAGCTCATGTAGCGCATCAATGAGCACATTCGGGTCGAGGATGATGCGTCAGCATCTACCGTGAAGTCAACTCCGGTAGCAACAGACAAGAAGACGGCAGGCAAAGTGCACGCAGTTGGGCGAGAGTCCAGCCGCTCAGGTGAGAGAGCAGAGGAATCAGACCGTGGCTCGAATCGTAAGAACCGGGGTAGAGGACGTCGGAACGACTGGGATGACTACACCTAAGATGATGTTACGGATGCCAACAGAAGATTGAAGGCAAGGACTGGCATCACCACGGTCTTCAAGATTCCAATTTATCGCATACTTAGTGAAATCCGAGACGAGGAGTAT